GTTCTGTTCTTGTGAACCAGCGGTCGTCTTCCGGCTCCTGGTAGGCAAACCGAACCTTATACTGTTTCTGGGGACGACCGCTACCTCCTGTTCTAAACACATCTTCGTCTACAATGTCGTCAATGTTGTATCTTCCATCCATATCCGGAGGGATCATGGATCTTCTCGAGGGGAACTGTTCACTTGTGACACACGGCAACAGTTTGGAAGCATGGAAGACAGGGTACGTGTGGAGGTGTGCTGGGATCTCTATAGTATAGGACGGTCCATCCTCTCCGCCTTTGACTTTAATACCGGCCACGGTCCTCTATAGGCAGGCAATAACTTCTGCGAGATGTGCTCCTCAGGTGCAAACTCTTTAGACTTGACCCCGACTAAGTCGCCTACTTGAAACTGTGAGGGGCGACGGTGCTTATTAGCCTGTTCTATCATTCTATGTTGGGTCGTTCTGAGGTTCTCAACAAGAGTTGCTAACTCTTTCTCATGCTGCAAAGCAAACTCCCTGGTACCGGGTGGTAATCTGTGAATCTGATCCCGGTTCAGTCCTTCGAACGGTCTGCGYGGTCTAAAGGACTTGTGCAACTCGTTGGGAGTGCGGCAGGTGGATAGATGCACGCTGTTGTTGTACGCACTAGCGACCTTGGGCAACATCTCATCCCAGTTGATCTGATCTGGTCTAATATACATGCGCAAAACTTGCTGTAGGATCTTGTTCATCTGTTCTGTCTGACCGTTAGTCTCTGGGTGACGGCCGGACGACATTTACAACTTAGATCCGTAGACTCCTAGAGTTCTTGCCAGTTCTGGCTGGTGAAATGACTATCTCTATCACTAACTATTGACAATGGGATTCCATTCTCACTAACCCAAAACTCAAAGAACTTCTGTATTACTAAGTCTGTACGTGCCTCTGCAGGCAAAGGAACGAAAACTGCATATTTGCTAAAACGGTCAACTATGACCATGACTTGGCTCTTACCATGTCTACTCTTGACTTGCGTGTCCATGAAGTCTATGGACACTGAGTCTCCCGGCTGATCCGGAATAGGCAAGGGTCTGAGAAGACCTAGGGGCGCGCGTGTAGTAGATTTGTTTCGCTGGCATACTTTACAACTGCGGACATACTCTATGCAGTCGTTCCTCATCCCTAGCCATGTGTACGCACGCACCAGATTGGCTAACGTCTTTTGCCAACCAAAGTGTCCCTCAGTATCGTGACATTCCCCTAGAATTAGACTACGAATCTCTTCGCTATTGGGAACGCACAAACGGTCAAACACATTAGTCTTCTCAAACAGCAACCCGTCTGTAGTGCGGTAATCTGGTTCGGTCTCTGGGGCCTCTCTAACTCTCTTTAGGAGGTCGCTATAGATAGGGTCTTGCGTATACGCTTGTCTCACTTTCTCCTGCAGGTCTCTCCCTATATCCAGATAATGTACTACGGCTCCAAAGTAGTCTGATCTCCTACTTAGAGCATCCGCCACTACATTGTACTTGCCCTTCACTGGCTTGAGCTCAAAGTCGAATTGGTCTATCTCTGCGGCCCACCTGGTCAACTTAGGTGTCATCTTGGCCTAGGTATTCAACCATCTAAGTGTTTCATGGTCCGAGTAGACTTTGAAGTGTCCTCCAAGCAGGTAGTGCTTCCAATGGTCTAAAGGCTGCCTGAGGGCGTAGAGTTCTCTTTCGTACGTGGAGGTAGCGACTTTCTCACAAGGCATCATCGCGGACATGAACTCTACGGGTCTATAGCCATTGCCGTCGTCTTACTGCAACACGGAGCCTATCCCATACCGACTTGCGTCCGTGGTGACGACAAATGGCAAGGACGGGTCTGCAACCTTGAGGACAGGATACTCTATTAACGCGCGCTTTAACTTTTTGAGCGCAGACGTACAGTCTTTATCCCATTGCCAAATCGTCTCTTTCTTCAACAACCTGCGCAAGGGAGCGGCGATAGTGGAGAAGTTCCTCACGAACTTTCTGTAGTAGTTAGCTAAGCCTAGGAACGACAGCAACTCGGTCAATGTGCGGGGCGTCGGCCGATTTCTGATCGCCGCGATCTTGCTGTCCTCTGGCTTAATGCCATCTCCGTCCAACACGTGGCCCACGCATAAGACTTGTGTCTTCGCCCACTCGCACTTCTTCGCATTGATCTTGAAGTTAGCCTCTCTAAGTTTCTCCAAGACTTGCCTCAGATGACGCTGGTGCTCCTGGAAGGTCTTACTAAAAACTAGAATATCATCTAGATAAACTACCACAAATTTGTCTAACCACGGTCTAAACAGGTCATTCATATAACGTTGAAAAGTAGCTGGCGTGTTGGTTAGTCCAAAGGGCATCACTGTGAACTCATAATGCCCGTATCTCGTCCGGAACGCAGTCTTGTACTGGTCATCAGAATGGACCTCTATCTGATGATATCCGGACTTTAAGTCTATCTTAGAGAAATACTTGCACCCCTGCAACCGATCTAAAAGATCGTCTATCCTGGGCACCGGTTCAGCATTCTTCATGGTAATCGCATTCAAACCCCTATRGTCTATGCACATACGTAGCTCTCCTTCCTTCTTTGGGACGAACAGGACGGGTGCTCCAAAAGGAGACGAGCTGGGCCTGATCCAACCTTTCTCATGGAGCTCGTCTAACTGTTTGCGAAGCTCCTCTAACTCTCTAGGGGACATCCTGTAGAATGCGCCCTTAGGAATTCTACTGCCAGGCTCTATCTCTATCCTGTGCTGGATGGGTCGCGACACTACTCTTCTCGGCGACTCAGTCAAGTCCTTGACTTTTTACATCAGCTTGGCAATTTTTGGATCTGTGGAACTATCCTTTTCTTGGGCCTCCGTGACAGGTCTTACATCAACTACAAAGACCTGTTCCTCTAACTGCTCCTTTTTTACTAATCGCGCGAACGAGGGAGCACTGAGACAGCAATGTGCCAAGGTGTTGTCTACACCAAACACATGGAACAAGCGGGCAGTCTTAGCCTCGCCTGACGGACTAGGGAGCCTACACTCATGCTCTCTCAACTGGAGTGTGGCCCCTGCTGCCTCTCCCCAATCCATTCCTAAAACTACATCAAAAGGAAGGTCATCCTGCACGAGGAGAGTCAAAGAATGGAGTACCTTCTCCACTTTTCCATTCTGCTCTAAGCGAAAGTATGCCTGGACTCCCTCTACATAGTCCTCGACTCGCATCGTGCGGTTGTCTGCGAAAACACTGACTATAGGGTCTATTAACTTCTGGACCTTCAGTCCTAGCCTCAACTTCTTCAGCGCCCTACGGCTAATATAACTACGGGTAACCCCTGAGTCTATGAGGGCCCCCACTCTACTCCTAAGCACCTCTACATCTACTAAGGTCAGCTGTCCCTTACTCTCCTTTTTCATTTTGGCCCAGGCTGGCATCCTCTCCTTTAACTCTTCTGCCACACCTGTGAGGGACGTGCCTAAAGAGACGCTAACACAAGAAGTCTCTGGACAACTATCTAGGCACGGGCCTGCAACCTCTCCCATAGGCTCATGTGGGTTGGGAGTGTCCTGTTCGCGCGCGCTCACTTCTCCACATGGCCTGGAAGTAGGGACAGTTGCGACCCCTACTGGTGGCTGCCTTTTGCCTGCTGAGCAGCCCAACGGGCGTGTCTATACTTTGGACAAAATTTAATTACGTGCGCCGGGTCACCACAGAATACGCACTGACCCWGGTTCACGCGTTCCTGCCATAAGCGCGGGTCCAAGCCCAGATCTTCCCAGGGCCTGCCCTGCGGCAAGCCTGGGTGCCATCCTCCTTGAGGTGCCCTTCCACCTCCTCGTTGTGGGGACCGGTTACCCTGGCGATTTAACGGGGGATTGACCCCTACCTCCCGCTTGGCGGTTTCCCTGTCCGCCAACCCCCTGTGCGCCCGGTCCTCGGCCTCCCATGGCCTGGCCCCTTTGCCCCTGGCCTCCTCCTCTACCTTGCGGCCTCCCTCCGGCCGTGACAGCAGCGTAAGACCTCCCCTGCCCTACACAACTATACTCCTCCCCTAGGCCCCACTCAATCTAATCATATGGGACCTCTTCTGTACCACCCTCCTCTAATGTCAAGATCAAGTGATCCTTGGCCTTGACTTGGCCCGGGATGGTACGATCTTTCCACT